TCATCCATTGGAAGGTTCTTTTCCAAAACCTAGATCAACTTAAAGGGATAAGAATGACATTATAATAACAATTATTATTATCAGCCCCCTTCTTTTGACAACAACTCTTGTTGTCATATACTCGTGTTATGCTTCAACCTACGATGCTTTGTTTCTAAAATTGATGGTTCATATCCCCCTAACCCCCCCCCCCCCCAAACTCCCCAGCCCCACTCCCTGGATCACCGACTTGGCAGCCAACAATTGGCTGCCAAATCGGTGATCCAGGGTGTTGGGGGGGGGGAGGGTGGCTGGGGTGGGGGTAGGAACCACCAATTTTAGAAAAGGAGCACCGTAGGCGCTCCAATTTGAGTTGTTGTCATAATATTACATTAGGGAGCGTTGTCAAAAGAACTGTGGTGTATTACTATTATTATTATTATTATCATTATTATTATTATTATTATTATTATTATAAGAACAGCAGCAAAAAAACAATAATAAAATCACCTGCAAATGGTCACCAAACAGCTTTACTTGAGCTGTTGCTTTGTCATCTCGGACTCCAATAAATGCCTCAAAGCTAGCCTATGAAGAAATCAGAAAACAAGTTATTTGTTGTCGTTAAAAAGTCTATAAGAAAACCGGAATTTCTACTAATAGATTATCAAGTTCATTTTGGGCACAAGTGATCACAAAATGAATAAGCATTTAATCAGGGTGTGGAGAGAAGTTATGAGAGAATGATACCTTATATCCAAAAAGTGCATCTTCATAGGTTTCATATGGACCAATGGTTACATCAAACTTAGAGTCCTTGAGATGACGAAAACGAGAAAACAAAATCAAAACTCTCAGGCCACAATGAAAAGACACAAAAGTAAAAGATGCCTACAAACTTAAGCATTGATTTCACAAGGAAGTGATTCATGTCAAAGGCAAAACTTCTTAAAAAAAGCCATTCGGGTATTTTGGCATCAGAAGTGGTTCACGAAGCATAAAAAATACAAATTGAAAATTAAAAAAAGTCATCTACAGCAATATTGTCTTCCATATCACAATGTGAAAAAGAATAAACTGCTTCTTGCATAGCCATAACTAGATCCCCAAACTCAATCTACAGTCCTGGAGCTAAATATACTTTCCATCTTTAGCAAGGACCTGTTATACTTAATTCCCTGCCCTATTGATAATAATATAAAGAAGTCATTAAATGCCCTCCAAATCTTGGGTAGAGTCATCTAAACTAATTATACAACAACAATAACAAACCTAGTAATATCCCACATAAAGTAGGGTATGGGGAGGGTGTGTGTAAGCCGACCTTAGCCCTACTCGAATGTAGAGAGGGTGTTTCCAAGAGACACCAGACTCAAATACAGAGCCACACAAACTACACAAGGTAGCACTAGCAAGAACAAAATAATAGCATAGAGACAAGAAGCACACATACCGACACTAACAGCTAGACCCAAAATACCGAAAGGCAAATATAACTAACCAACTCCATCCAGGCAATGTCCGAGTCGTAGTAATCATTGGAAAGGAAGGCATCAGCTTTGCTGTGTAAAAGTCTTCCCAAACTAAGGGACAAGAAACAGTCATAAATTAGATGCCCACCACTCAAATGTTTTGAATATTTAGGGTATCCGGCACAAAAAATACCTATGTGAGCTCGTAACATTTCCTGCTTCATGTAGTAACTTGGCAGCTTCAACAAGAAGAGAGTTGTATTCTTCACAATAAGGAACAATATATAGGTCATGAGAGGAGGTTGGGTTTGATGTATTTTGAGATTTTGGAATATCCAGCTCAGATTCACTATGCCTTTTGATTACATTAAAGAATCCCATTGCTTCTTTCTTTTGATCATCCGGGAGACTCTCTCTCCACAATGAAAATTCCTTTTCATAAAAGCAAGAAAACTTTGAAGTGAATATAGTCAACAACCAAGTAAAATCGCACAAAAGTAGCTAAGCCTTTCCCACTTATTGGGATTCGCTATTTAATCATCTATTCCCTCCATCCGGATTTAGTTGTCCACTTGGTTTTATTTGTCCAAAATCAGTTGTCCACGTTCCATATTCAATAAAAGAAATTATGATACATTGTCTAAAATATCCTAAAGATGAGGTATGAGCACTATTGAGATAATGGATTACAAACCCATTTGAAGGTCTTATTTGACATTTTGAACTTATTTCTTAAAAGTGAGCATTTTTAAAATGAGAGTCCGTTGTGGGTGTTCGGCGAAACCTAGACAGGGTTCAAACTTTGATATCTCACAATATCACAACCATCCCAAATAGTGGTGTTTTGATATCAGCCAATTCTGGGAGATATCAATACGAGGATTTTGATATCCCTCAAGACTCGGCCACCCACCATCATTGGCCACCTCCTACTGCCACTAACAACCATCATCTCAAATCTCTCCATACACTTTCATCCAGATTTCAAAACCCATATCATTTCTCTTAGATTTCAAAAGTCATATCATATCAACCCTATTTCACTCACCAAACGGACCCCGAGAGTTTTTAGAACGTGGACAACTAATTTGAGACAGAGGGAGTAATTAAAAACACTGACAAAAAAATAAAAGTATTGACAAAAAAAGTTGTCAATCAAGAAAAGGCTAACTTCCTACCATTTTATCCATATCTTGTGGATAAAAATTGGCACCAGGTGGTTTTATAGCTGGAAATGCTAGCCTATACTGAAGACCTTTCCATCCGGTCACAGGCTTTGTAGCCTCTGGAAGTAGCTTGACAGCTGAGTCTGCAGTCGTCAAAAATGCCTCATTTTCATCCAGACATGACCTACAAATAAGTATTCGATTACACTGCGATATGTTTATCTACATTCAGGGAAACAAAAGTCATTTTAATAGATAAAAAGGAAGTATTTTCAAAAAAGAAATTTTTTGCTTAATAGAAAAGTTGAATGAGAAGGCATACATGCATGGACTACAACCCAAAGTCTGTTGGGGTCTAAGGGGTCAATATGTATGCAACCTTACCCATGCAAAAAAAAGTTTGAAAGACACACTGATACGCCTAAGGAAAGAAACTTGTATTTGTTGGTTAATTCCAGTCCAGAATATAGTTTAAATTTAAAAATAAATAAGTAAAAAAAGGGCAGGCAGTTAGGCAGTTACAGGCAGTTTTATGACAGTTTCCAACAGATGTGTTGGTTAGGAACTGTTGTGTCTATTTGTAATGGTTGTGTTGTTTAGTCCTCTATTTATATGTATGGAAACATAGTTCTGGACAGCAGTTCCACAATAATAAAAACACTGTTTATATACTCCAGATCTGATTTTTATTCTCTCA